TTACAAAAACACAAAATAAGTATAAATAAGTATTTATATTTGTGTACAAGCTGTTTAGATTGCCAAAAAGCCTGTGTTTTTAGGGTTATTAACGAAGTTTGTCTATTCAGACCAGTAATATTTGGGGTCCCAAGTTGTTGCCATGGATATTTTGTGGGTCAGAAGATAAAAAGTTTGGGAACCACTGTCTTAAATAATACACAAGGAATATTTTTGAATCATAAAAACTATTATTATTTTTATGGTAAAATATGTTAGTAAACTATTTTAAAGTTAGTTTGCCTTCAGAAGCTTTTAATGCTTTTGTTTAAAGTAAATCACCTTTTTCCAGCTGTAGAAGAAAAACATGAGACAAACTAAAACAGGACACATGTTTTGTTCTAAGAGATGAAATGGACTTACTCTTGAGTTTATGATCTGGGGGAACAGGGTGGGTTGTCACAGGAAAAGGGAAATGAGAGAAGACAAAATAACAAAATGAGACTGCAAATCAGTGCAAATGAAATGATAGGAGGTTAAATTATATGAAACAGAAAAMAAATTAAAGGACACACTTTATGCARCTAAAATGTTTGTGTTTGTGGGTACTTTTCTTTGTTTGAGTTCATTTACTCCATGTACTTTCTGAAAGTATTTAGTTGTTTTCAATTATAATTGCTAAATATACTCAGATGTCTTTCCCTAAAAGGACACAATTCTTGCTTGAAATTCAAAATGCAATAATATTGGACAACGTACCCAAACAAAATTTTTGTGCGTATTTTCTATTTTTCTAAAGTGTACTGTCTGTACATTACTGTGAGCTCACTTGGCAGGTGTGTGAGTTCATTAAAGAATTTGTTCTTCATGCTGGTAAACTGGTGGTTGGAGTGATGTGATGGAGGTGGGGCAGGTGGGCGGGGCTCCTCCTCCTCCGCTGCCCTCCGAAGCCGTGCCACWGCCATGTTGTCCAACCGCATTGTTGATCTGAAAAAAAAATTTTTTTTAAATAAAAACACAATAGCTAATCAATGATGAAAAACTACAAGATGTCTAGTTTGGAAAAGGTGAAACCACAACAAAACATTTTACTATAGCACAGACTTACAGAAGTAAATGTTTGCACACTCATAGTGTTGTTTATTCAAATCATTACTGTAACACATTCACCACTGCAGCAGTGGTGAATGTGTGACGTGTTTTAGCTATAGTGAAAAACTGTAGTTTTGTTTACATTGAATCAGTTGCCAACATGACTTCATGATTTTAAATMATAAAATACACTCTAAAAAGGAAATTTTGGCTTTACTTAACCACCAAATTCAAAGCAACATACTCATGTTCTTTGGTTAAAAAACTGGTGTATTGCTTTTAATTTACTCAACTCATTTAAGTAGAACCAGGTAACATAACATGGTTAAGTAAATCCAATGTTTCATTTTTTTTACAGTGTACCTC